CCGTGATTTCCAATCACGCCCGTGATTCCCTGCTGACGCTCAACAGATACAACCCGTGATTTTTGAAATTCCCCTTTCCCTTATATATTTTTCCCCCTCCTTTTACATTCTCACTTCTCTCAAACTTACGAACTCTGCCCATTCTCTCTTTTCTTCTCTCCCAAACCCTAGCTTCTCACTTCTTCTTCCTCTTCTTCCCTCTTCCTCCCACATTCACTCCTTCCGTTCATCCATGGCTCCCAAGCGCACCCGTACCGTTGGTTCGTCCTCCACCGCTTCCGATACCCACAGTTACGAGGAAGAAGCAAGTGAAATTCCGCACCTTCCTCCGAGGTTCTATCGGAACGATGAACAGCGTGAGCAGAACGAGGTATTACGCTTCCGCACTATCCATCCTACCAGGTATCTCGACTTCCTATTTATCATCCACAAATCGAACTCTTCCTGGATGAAAAGAACACTCCCCTGTGTCTCATTAATACTTGGCTGCACTAAGGTTTCTTGGATGACCGACCGAGTGGCTCCCGGCTTCTTTGTTCTTGCAAGCTTGGAGAGTAGATCGGGCCGCGAATTTTTCTCTCGTGCTACATGGTTGAGTGCGAACTCTCGAAAATTTTCTGATAGGAGTTTTACCTTTTCCAAGTACTTGGCTAATTGAGGATCCTTCGCCTGGAAGGTTCCAGCCACTTGTCCGGTGATCAACTGGGAATCGCTTCTAGCTGACAAGCTCGTCGCCCCCATCTCCTTTGCCAAAGCCATTCCTGCCAATAGTGCTTCATACTTTGCCTGATTATTGCTCACTCGGAACTCGAAGCGTAGTGACTGTTCCAACAGTATGCCCCCCGGACCTTCCAAGACAATTCTGGCTCCGCTTCCTCCTAGGTTCGAAGCACCATCCACTGATAGAATCCATTGTGTTTCTCCGACTCCCCCCTCTTGAACAGGAGGGGTAAGTTCCATCAGAAAGTCAGCTAATGCTTGAGCCTTGATCGCTCATCTCGGCTCATACTTGATGGAGAACTCTGATAGCTCGACCGACCACTTCATCATTCGGCCTGCCAGGTCGGGTTTCTGCAAGACTTTCCGAATCGGGTGACCAGTGCGAATTACCACCTCGTAACTCTGGAAATAGTGTCACAACTTCCTTGCGGTGACCAGTATCGCAAGGGCCAACTTTTCGATCTTCTGGTAGCTCGTCTCGGCTCCTTGTAAGACCCTACTCACAAAGTAGATAGGAACCTGAGAAGCCTCCTGCTCTTGCACAAGGACTGAACTAACTGCTCGGTTGGATGCCGATATGTAAACCAACAAAGGGAGGTTCAACCGTGGTTTTGTTAGAATCGGCGGCGATGCCAGTGATCTCTTGAGTTCTGTGAAAGCTTCTTCACACTCGGTCGTCCAAGCAAAACGGTCATTCTTCTTTAGACATTGGAAAAGCGGTAACGCCTTATCGGCTGATCTAGACAAAAATTGAGACAACGAAGCCATTCTTCCCGTAAGTTGCTGGACTTCCTTCACCGTGGATGGACTCCTCATGTTGATGATGGTCGAGCACTTGTCAGGGTTTGCTTCAATGCCGCGATGAGTCAGCAGGAAACCGAGGAACTTTCCCGCATAGACCCCGAAATAGCACTTTTCGGGATTCAATTTGAGTTGGTACTTGCCAATAGTGTCAAACAACTCCTGCAAGTCGTTGAAATGCCGATTGACGCTTTCTGATTTTACCACCATGTCGTCCACGTAAGCTTCCACATTCCGACCTAGTTGACTCACAAGGACTTTGTCCATCAGTCACTGATAGGTCGCCCCTGCGTTCTTTATACCGAACAACATAACCCTGTAGCAGAAATTGGCTTGATCGGCTATGAAGGCGGTCTTGTCCTCGTCTGCTGGATGCATTGGGATTTGGTTAAATCCCGGGAAAGCATCCAAAAAGCTCAGCAACTCGTACCCCGACGCTCCATCCACCAGGCAGTCTATGTTTGGTAACGTGTACGAGTCTTTTGGACAGGCCTTATTCAGGTCGGTGAAATCCGTACACATTCTCCACTTCCCGCTACTCTTGCGCACCATGACTACATTCGCCAACCAGGTTGGATACTGGATTTCTCGGACATGTCCTGGCATTACCAACTTTTGCGTTTCTTCCGCGATAGCCCTTCGTTTTTCCTCGCCGAACTTCCTTCTCTTCTGGATCACTGCCTTCGCTCTAGGGAATATAGCAAGTTTGTGGCACAAGAAATCTGGGTCAATGTTAGGCATGTCGCTGGAATGCCACGCAAATGCCGACACATTATCTTTTAGAACCCTTACCAACCTCTCTTCGTCCTCGGGAGTCAAAGAGGTCCCTATCTTTACGTTTCTCCCTTCCATTACCTCCACTTCCTTGACATCTTCCGCGGGGGTGGGTCGGTGGTCGAGCTGACCCATTCTAGGATCCAGTTCAACAGAATGGATGTGCTTCTCAGCTGGAGCGGTATATAATCGCCTTCTTGCCTTCGGATTGTCCTCGTAACACTTTCGGGCGACCTCTTGATCTACTTTGAGGACCCCGACATCCCCATTCGGCAATGGGTATTTCACCTTTAGGTGTGATGTTGACACTATGGCTCCCAGTTTGTTCAGTGTAGGTCGGCCGATAAGTATATTATAGGACGACTGAGCATTGACCACTAAATATCGGATGGTTACCGTTTTCATCTGCGAGCCCTGTCCGAAGGTTGTTTCCAAATCGGCGTACCCCCTAGCCACAACCTGGTCTCCCGCAAAACCTATGAGGGTTCCTGTGTAGGGCACTAGTCGGTTGCTGGGGATCTTCATTCTCACGAAAGCTTCCCAAAAGAGGATGTCGGTCGAGCTCCCTTGGTCGACCAGGACGCGCTTCACATTGTAACCCATCACTATCGTCGAGATGACGATAGGGTCGTCCTTGTGAGGAGCTACCCATTCATAGTCGGCGTCCAAGAAGGAAATCGTGGGTTACGGTGGTCGACAGATTTCCGATACGGACATGACGGAGCGGGTGTACCTTTTTTGAGAAGCCGAGGTGACCCCTCCTCCTGCAAATCCTCCCGCCACTGTGTTGAAATCCCCATGAATTGCTTGCTGATGGACCTCCGATGACCCTGCTGGAGTGTCCTTGGGGGGAGTTCTCTCCCTATGCCTGTCCCTCCTAGTGTTGTCCTGTGCGCACCTATGTCGCCTGTCCGACGAACCTTCTTCTTGTTTCCTTGCCACAAATTTTTCAGGCGCCCCTCCTTGATCAAGCGCTCGATCTGTCTTCCAAGGACGAAACAATTCTTTGTGGAATGCCCATGAGTCCTATGAAACTCGCACCAGTCGGTCTTGAAGGGACCCAACTGGCGCTCCGTCGCCGCTGGGAACTCGAATAGCGACGTGCTGTTGACATCGTGAAGTATCTGCCTTCTAGGGACATTGAGCGGAGTAAACTTCTCTTCGTCATTGTTGCGTGTCCACTTGCCCCTTTCCCGACCACCATGGTCGGTCTGCCAGTAATTGCCCTCCTTCATGTTGTAACGGTCGCGTCGTTTACTCCAATATGATCGCGGTCGGAGATGCTTGTTTCCCTCTTTATTGTTGCCCACTGCTTCTCGGCTCTCCGCCGCTCTTTTGCTGATTTGCCCTTCCTCCGTCTTGATGTGACTCAGCGCGAAGGCTCTCACCTCTGACATCGTCTAGCAATTTGCTCTTTCCAGCGCGATATCGAAAGCTCCAGACCTCAGGCCCTTCTGGAATGCGATGACATCCATCCTTTCGTCCAAAGACGCTATCCTCAAGGCGACCTCATTGAACCTTTGCAGAAAGTCCTTCAATGATTCCTCCCGCTGCTGCTTGAGATCGAACAAGTCCGACATGATCGGCGGCTTCTTCTTGTTAGCGACAAATTGTGCCATGAAGAGCCGACTGAAGACATCGAAATTGGTGATTGATCGGTCTAGGAGACCACTAAACCAATCAAGCGCTGCCTTTTTGAGTGTGGCCATGAACAGTTTGCAACGGACCTCCATGCTCCCTCCACAGATCAACATTTGAGCTCGAAAGTCCGTCAAATGCTGACTGGGATCCTTCGTTCCATCAAAAGGTTCAACCTGGGGTATCCGATGATCCCTGGGGATGATCTCGGCCTCTATGGCTTCCGAGAAAGGTCGGAAATCCCTATGGACTTCCATCATGACGTCTTCCTCCACCATCCTGGTACTGGCCTCTAACCTGGCCTGCATCTCGTCTGCTCGCCTCCTGATCTCCTCATTCTCGCGCTGAATGGCCTCCTCTCTTTCCCTGGATCGTGCATTTTCCTCCCTTAAGCCATTGATCATGGCCATCATCTCCTCCATGGTAGGGGGTTGTGAGTTGTTGTTTGATGTGCCACCTCTCGCCATGGTAAAGTGTAGGTTCTTCTATACGACTTGGGGCGTAGGAGAAGTTTTACCGTAGCCCCACGGTGGGCGCCAAAATGTTCCGGCCAAAAGGTGGACTAGGATTTTTTCCTAGGTCAAGCCTCCAGCCCAGAGCATTCAAAAATGTAATTTGCCTTCTCGACTGTAGGGTTTTCAGTTTTATAGTTTCTCGTTCACGGGCTTCATGTGCCCCGAGAATATAGGGATTTCCCTTAACCGTTCTTATTTTAAAGATACTACGACAAACACTGGAACGATAAATCGGATCGCGACCGACTAGGCCCATTCCAAAGGGGGTCCAGTCGGGCTTTAGCCGAGTGGGATCTCGGCCCTGAAAGATTAGAGTGGGGGCCGACATGGCTTAACTATGATGCCCTCTCGGCCATAGGCTGAGTGGCTCTTTAAAGGGAGGGGGTGTCGGAAGAAGACCGAAAAGGGTGTACACATGTGTCAAATCGGCTATAAACCGAGTGTGTAACAGCCCAAGCAACCCGCATGTAGATATTGTCCGCTTTGGCCGCAGCCCTCACGGATTTGTTCTTGGCGATGGCACGCATGCCACCCCAAAACGCGTCTACCAAGGCAAGTCCTGCCAACCCCATCAGAGTAGCGCAGCGACCCCACATGGCCAGATATTGTCCCACAATGGGTTTTGTTCTAGGCAATGCCCTCATGGCATCCCTAAACGCGTCTACACAAGGAAGGTGTCCACACCCATATATATGGCATGCTTCGTTCCCCTTCCTAACCGATGTGGGACTATATCCACCCCCCCTCAAGGGAGTCCAGCGCCCTCGCTGGCACACCGATCCGGGCCCCGGCTCTGATACCAATGTAACAGCCCAAGCAACCCGCATGAGGATATTGTCCGCTTTGGCCCACGGCCGCACGGTTTTGCTCTTGGCGATGA